TGCTAGCACACACTAATTTTCCACAGTAAAAACAATATACTGGAAAATATTGCCAAGCACTGTCAGTGAGAACAAGAATAGTCTAGCCTTACGCCTCCGCTTTTTATTTCATTATTTTTATTTCAAAATTGTCTTCGAATGGAGAATACGGTCTGAGCATCTGTCACAGGCAAGCAACAGGATCTTTTTTTTTCCTCTTTTGGTCTAAGAGAACCTGTACTCCTAAATACACTCCCTATGGGGAGTATTTATCTAAAGGTGAACTGGAGAATAGTAAATTTATAAAAAAGTAACCCTTTCTATTGATGCATGAAATCATTACATCATTAATTAAAATGTCTTTTAGTCCCCTGCATCCCTTACTCCAAGGATATGCACACATTGAAAAACACATATTGATTCTGTTAAACACGACTTTCAAAGTTTTGCAGTTATACAAAAATTAGTTTGTACTGTAGAATTAAAAAACCTCTACCTTATTAATGGAAAACTTGTGCTCATCGCAAGGCCTAATTCATACGTCATGCTGATCAATACCCAGCAAATCTGTTTGGTTAGATGGTGTCCACAATTTGGTTAGATGGTGTCTAAATCCTTCATTCTTACCCACATATGCAGCGTCTGATGCAAAGGCTCAGATGTGAATGATCCAAATCATTTATTACAAGTTCTCACATCACTTATATACCTTCACAAGTTTTCTTTTTCTGTCTTTTCCATCCACCCCTACAACTTTCCCATCCACCATTACATGTCAACAGAGCATTCTACAAAACACTCTTCAAGCGTTCACACAGGTGCTTATCCAGTCAGAGCCGTGAGATGTTCTTTCTTCTTCTGGAGGTGTCCCTGGTTCTCATGCTGTTTATCTTGCTCCACAGCTTCTACTCTGAACAGTTTTTCTTGTATTCCCACACACACATATTCTGTAAGGTCTACCAGTTAAATATTTTATTGATGTAGTTTTGCCTTATTCTAATGGATATAATAAGGGAGCGTTTTAATCATGTGTTCTACCCTTACTAAACTCCTTTATTCAGTATTGATTTTATTTTTTTGTGTGTGTAACTACACAAACCTGTGTAGTCAAAAATACTAACTGCTTTCCTTGGATTGTTTTGTTACTACTTCTGTTTTCCATGAATTCATATGTTCTTACTGTACAATAATGTATTGCATATGAATTCAAAGCAATATCAATAACCGTGCCGTCTATCTCTTTTGTTCCAGTGACTCACTTTACTTAGGAACAAACTGTGGATTTAGTTGTTACTCCTGTGATAATATCGTAGACTGCATTCCATCATAATAATGGATTTTAATTTGAAATTATGGAAAAATAAACTGATCAAAAACAACCCGTAGGCAATGGAATGAACTACATATAAAATCATTTGCAGGTCTAAATTGATCTGTCTCTCTTTTCTACAGATCAGTGTGGATTTTTTTTTTCTTCCTTAAAAAAAAAAAAAAACACCAAACCACACACACAAAAATAAAAAAACAACTGTTCTTAACGCTTGAACAAATCCCTTTTTCTTCCCCTCGATAATGTGGTTAACTGTCTGGAATGTGAGCCACTGGAAATTCTTCCCCACAGAAGAATCCCCATTAAGCTTTCAAGCAGACTTACTTCATCCCCACAGCTGCATGGATAGAAGACTTTCTAATGCCTAAATACATACTGTATATGTCATCCTTAAATTTAATTTTTTTTTTTTTTTCTTTTTCCAGCCAGAGCTCTAGGAGCAGGTGCTAGCATTTTGCTTCCTTTCTGCTTCCTCTGTGGGGAATGGGCTAGAAAGAGCCAACTAATTAGAAAATTCTACAGGGAAATCAATTCTGCAAACAGCTGAGGAATGGCATTTCAGTATAATGCTCACTTTGTCTGTCAGCAATGCCTTGGTTGGCTTGACAAGTGGCAGCTCTTCCAGATGTTACACATGTTGTGATAAGATCAGAACTGCATCATACATTGCCCATTCATGAAAAGATGTGGTGCTCTGGAAGAGTAAATAAAATAAAACTGATGTTAAGGACATATTATGTTGCTGTCACAAGACAACAGCTTAGTATTTTAACATGTGTTTAAGATGCAGCAATGAACTTATGTTTAGTGATTTGAGTATTGAGTGCTGTCTTTGCTTTCACATAGGGGTAAGGCAGAGGAGTGGGGAGTTAAAGAGATGTACTGAACCATCTAGTGTGAAAGGCTAGATAGTCAAAGTTAGTCTTGCATATTGTACACATCTAAAAAATATGTGCAGATCTGTAATATGTCTGAGCAAAATGCCACTTATTTAAGCACTAGCTGGTTACGTGTACATGAGAATAGTCACATCTGCATACAACAGGCTCCCTTTCTAGAGGCACTGGTGACTTGAAGCTACAAGGATCTCCAACTCGTAAGTAGTCTGTTGTGAGATGTTCAAGGGAACAACATTGTCTTGGAGAAGAAGATTTATCAGAGACTTTGCCAGCATCAGTTTCATCAATTCTTCCTCAAGCCATTTGTAATGTGAGGCAGCGTTCATCAGCAGACTTCTTGTGTACACCATTCTCAGATAGACTTGGCATCCATTGTCTCTGTCCTGCCAGGAGATGGTCTTGGGCTTTGCTCAGCTGTGCAGAAGCATCCCCCAGACTCCAGATATCTGGGAATTTGCTCTGGACTTAATATAGAAATAAGGTCTTGTGAGTAATATAGAACTTCTTTTCCTGTCTTTTCTGGTCCAAACATGATTTTGCAATTCACAGTATTATGAATATTTCTTCCTGTTGCAGCTCATTCATTTTTTAGATGTCTTATTTTCTATTCTTGAGCTTCGTGCTGTACTCCTTGTCTCTGTCACGAGTATTAGAATCCTTTTCCTGCCTGTGTCTCTTATCAACTAATTTGTCATATCTAAGAATACAGTAGCTAATATGCTTGTGTACAAGTCCCATAAAGACATGTTACTTTTCTGTAGATGAAGATTTCCCAAAGTATTTTCCTCTTTTTCATGTTGGTTCTACCATAACATGATCTTTCACTTTCTCTTTTTTTTTTCTCTTTCATCCTTTCTCTCTTTCCATTTTTCCATTAAATCTCAGATGCAGTAATACTCTGTCAAAAATCTGTTTGCACTTGATTTTCTAACCAGTCTGTTCTCTCCAGCACAAGTACAGTGCTTAATACGTTGCACAGTACTGGATGCAAGAACTGTTTTTAATAGTAAACGATCTATATCCTATTATCAGTTCCATTTTGCCATGCATAAGTTATTTGAGAATTACTAGTAGACTTTTTCTAATAAAAAAAATTTCAAAGCTTTGTAATGCTGATGCTGAAATGCAGCCATCTTCCAGCACTAACTGCTGAACTAACCAAACAACACTGACTTCAAAAGAGTAATTTTCAGAAATGAAGATCACTCTCGTAGCTGAAAATAATAGCATTCCATCTTTTGCCTTTACGATAAATGAAGCCAATTTCTGTACATTTTAAATTTAACAATTGTAGGTTTCCAAGTGAGATATAATTTCTTATGAAACCATTGAAATTAATTCACTACTAAGTATTAATGCCTTCCTTGTTTCTAGTTAATCGTTGGAAAAAAGCAAACAAAATCTCTTTATTTTGACTGATTTCTATAGCTACATATGTTTAAGAAATTGAAAGGATTAAAAGGTAGCAACCTCAAAAAGAGATGCGTAGACTGTAAAATGTAAGCAATTTTATAATTCCAAGACCCATTTTGATTAGAGAAGCCCTTGTCTCCACATGTGGAAGATTTTCTTTGCAGTCACATTTTCAGATTTTTTTTCAGATAATTGACTTTTTAATTTTAAAGTCCTAAATGTCTCACTGCTTGGCCATTTTCCAAAATGCGTTGTAATATACCTGATACATTATGAAAATATACCTGATGCATTATGAAAATTTGTCGAGTAGGCCATGTGTAAAACAAAAGCTTATTTGCATTTAAGAATAAAATTGCATTATTAAATATTATCATCACCTATTCTTCCCAGAATTACAACTTTTATTGCAGAATGCTTAGTAATTACAGGAGCACTGCCAGCTGAAATTTTTGAAGTGATTGTCAAGTGATAAATAAAATGGAAAAGGTTTGCTATTTATTTTATGTAAATGTCCAGCTAGATTGTCTTTATATATTGCCTACACAAAGATTTTTAGCGATTTAATTTTCTGTTTATTGACATTCAGATTTTCAAAACACCAAACCAGTTGGTGTGGAAATTTCTTTCTCTTTCAATGTGTGTCCTAAACAAAACAAGCATACAAACAAACAAACAAAAAGATGCATTACTTCCATGATTTTTCCTTATTTTGATTTGCATTACATGGATTTTTATATAGTTTTGTTTTTTTTTTTTTTAATGCAACAAGAATAAACATTAACTGCATGCACTTAAGAGCCAAAAAATGTAAGTAAAGGAAAAAGCTGCACCTGACTATAGACATTGTTCAATAATTGCATGTTGGCACCACTAGCTTAGTGTTTATAATTTATTCTCTTTATAAAGAGAATCTTTATGATTTATTCTCTACAGGGCAATAGAGATAGAGCAGAATGAATAAGGATGTTTTCTTGTGATGGTCATCAGAAAGACTGGAGGGGTCAATCAGGAAGAAAGATATCTCCTTCTTGTGAGGGCATGGAAGCATGTGAGGATGTGAGGATGACAAGGAGGTCAGGTGAGCCAGGTGGTGAATTCAAAATTAACTTCCAATTAATAAAAATATTTCAAAGTGCTTTTTTTCCTTTGGAGTAGAGCAAGATGCTTTGTCTTGCCCTTGTGTGTTCAAAAGAACTGTTCTAAAAATATAAGTGTTACTCATTTCTCTGAAGTTCCATCAATTGTTTATTGGTAAGCATTGTCTGGAAAGGAAGGAAGCGTAAGGAGATAGCAGGAGTACTTTATTGCAGTGAAATGCTTGTGTTATTTCAGCTAGCCAATTTTACTTATAACCTCCTCAACTGCAGTGCTATCCACTGCAGTTGCTCTAGAGCGAAAGGCTACATCATCTCTGCTGCTAGTTTCTTGTGATGGAGTAAGAAAAAAACAGGTAGATATTTACTTTTATTCTCTGACTGAATATTTTGAAAATGAGAAGCTGGGCCCCCTTCCCCAAAGCAGTAGGCAAGGCATGCTAACTTTCTGCTCTGTTTCCTTTTGCAGAAATAATGCCTGCCTCAGACATAATATCTTAAGAGTTCTAAGGACAGGTAGCTTTAGACCTTGCAAATTTTATGGGTTTTCTGATCTAAGCTGCTGAGGAGACTTTTGAAAGTGGACCTTCAAATGTTTCACACACAGTAAATCTCTTCAGAATCTTTCCAGTGTTTTTAAAACAGCATAAAAGGAGTACAGGGAAAAGTGGTGGATGTTGGTGAATGGGGCTAATTCCTCTGCAAATATCTCATGTCCCTTGCAAAAGTCCATGGGCAGCATTAGTATTAGCAGATGCTGAGCATGTTCCCATTGCTGCTAGCAACAATGCACATTTGTCAGCCTTGAGAAATCTCTTTAGATATAGATGTCGACAATCATAGTTATTAGAAATACCAAAGTGCTGAAGTACCAAAAGAGTACTAAAGCAAGTACCTTAATATTTAGATGGTGTTTGAGGGGAAAAAAAAAAGAAAGATATTTCCCCAAATGACCATGATTCTTTTGCCATCAGCCAATAAAATTTTTACTGTTGACTCCTACAGAAGCATTTTAAGCTACTATTAACTGCTTCTGAAATCCCACCCTTAATCCTGGCCTTCTTAAATGCCAGATAGATAAACAATGATCTCTGAATCTCACTTAGCCTGCCTGCTTTTCCAAATGGTAGGAAAAAAATGGAAATTTCTGCCACTCAGCCCTGAAATCAAACTGAAATCAAAAAGAGAAGTCCATATTTGTTTTTTGTAGCCTATCTAGAAAACGGGACTGAAAAGTAGATGAATATAAAGTGATTTCTGAGACATTTGGCAAGTAGCAATTTAACTTCTTACTCAGGACCTTAAGTGACTGCCCCAAACTTTTATGACATGCATAGGAAGAGGGCAGGAATAAATAGAACATAAAATAGTCAATAACCTATCCTAAATACTAGACCAGACATTGTATTTCTTGTTTATTCTTGTTTATCATTTAGGGAAAATGCTGGGATCTATATGGCCTGAATTCCTATCAGTTTTATTGTTTTGTTTTCTTTTTAAACAGAAACCTGTAATCCGAGAAAACAGTTTTTATGTGCCCAAAATGTCTTGAACTGGGTTGTTGCTGAGGAACTAGGAAAAACTGCAGGTCTTGACACTTTGCTTTATATCATCAGTGTTTCAAAGATTGAGTAATTACTCATTATTTGGTTCCATTCACAAGTAATTTTTAGGTAATACCATACACAGTCATATAGGATTTGTCCAGAAGTCGATGAGTTCTTTCTTTGCCAAAAACTTTGGTCAGCATGAAGTGGAATTAAGTCAAGTACAGGAAGGAAATTGTTATTGATACCAAAAGAATTTGTGGCCTTAGCTATTATCAGGCACAACAAAAAGTTTTTTCCTTTCTATTGGAAGGCATGTGATTATAGATATGCCAAAAAAATGCTACTAAATATTTCAAGAAGATGTTAGGTTTTTCAAAACTAATTCTGCCATCAGGACCCTTGCCAGACATTAGCAGATCATCAAATTGTTTTTTTCTTGGATGAAAAGAAGTCATAAATGTAAAAAGGGTAAAATTTATATTTTGATCTGCTGATGTCTGTTTCATTACTAAATGTCTTTATATCCTCAAGACACTTTTGTGAAAGAAACATAAGCTCCAAAGAATGTTGGTAAGCTCTTCTTTTTTATTTAAGTATGTGCTAAGATTTTTGCAGGGTACTCCTGATTACGTTGTCAGAATCTAGGAATTTGAAGATAAACTCAGGTTCCAGAAAAATATCAAGCTATCCCTCAAATTATTTTTTAAATTTCATAGACAAACAGATCTACACACGTAATACATATGCAATGGCTTTTTCAACTTAGTGGTAGAAATTTCAGTGTGGCAATAATTGCATGGGCTTAGCCCTCTCAATAGTAGTCTTGCTTTCAGCTGGAAATGATGAGATCATGTTTAAAACATTTGCTTATCTAAAACATATTCATAAACTAGATTTCACTGAAGTCATTTTTACAATTTTATTGTCATGCTTTTTCTAAGTTAAAATGATTTATTATTACAAGATTCTCAAAATAACAGCAGAATTCTTTTGCTAGTGTAACTGAACAAACTTTTGTATAAGTCAAAGCGCAGAACAAAAGAAAAAGCGTTGTGCATTGATAATAGCTATTTAGGAAATGATAGCATAGGGGGAAATTGATAGATGTTAAGTATCTTGGCTGTTCTCAACTGTTATGTCAGTGGTAGTGAACGTGTTTTTGTTTTTTTTTTCTTCTCAGTACAGCTCACTGTTATTGGTATCTTAAACTAATTTGAAGAATGCTAAGTAAGTGAAAGCTAATACTAATTATCTGCCTAATAATTCAATATTTGAAAGGAACAGCTTTACATGCAAGAAATTTAGAGCTAAATCTGCAAAAAATACAGTGCTTCACCTAACTTGAAGGCATCTTGCCAGCTAGTAAGAAGTTTTGCTCTAAGATTACGCACTTCTGTTGCTTAATGAATGCAGAGGAAGAGCTGAGCCAGCTCAGAGTAATGCAATTTAAGTAAATTAGTGCAATCAGCATTCAAACACAGGGTAATGTACATATGGAGACAGAATATTAACCCAGAGACCAGTCAAAAATCATCTCTCTTCACACATACCACAAAGAGTACTGTCTCAGTATATAGGACAAATGATAGTATTTCTGTCTTCACTGAACTTTTCTGCTAAGTTCAGAAAAAAACATGGAAGATACCACTGTCTGATGAGAAAAACATTAGGAAGATAATAAAATGAAAAAGAACAACAGCAAAATCCTTTACTTTGTATGCTTTCTTAGGGGAGCACAGATGTGCAAACTGGCAGAGAGATCTGATTGTTTTGACTATTTCTGCAGTGAATTGAGCTGTAATGGCTTGGCGGAGTGAGGACTCACTGCTAAAGCAGACACATATCACATGGAGAGGTACCATTCTCCTGCTATTTCATAGAGCAAATAGTTGAATGTTTGTGTGAACGTGGGGCTGGAGAGGCTCCCTGTTTACGACCAGCTACGGATGTCTGTGGAACGTTGCTCTGGAGGAATTCACAGTGAGATTTCCAGCAGGAAACACAAATGCTAAGCAGATGTATTTTCTTCCAGACTAAACCTTTAGACTCAGATTGGCAGAAAATCTTCGCTTTATCCACTTTAAGATCTTTAAGACAAAAACACAAAACAGTGACTTTTCAGCCCTTTTAACAAAGACTGGAAGCCACTGATTAGTTATGTGGGTCTACGTTTCCCCGAGAGCACACAGACGACTCATTGAATCTGCTTAATCATCTCATTCTGCATTTAACTTAAAAAATGCAAAACAAGGCAAAGAAACCCAGCCCCCAAAAGCAAGTAGTACTCCTGATCAGATGATGTTCAAGGGAGTTATTCCAACTTGATCTTTCTCTCGCATATCCTTCATGGGAGGAAATACTTATGGAGGAAGCAAACTGGAAAAGATCACAAAGATCCTGACACATAGATTTCCTGGTGTTATTCTCTAGAGGAAGAGGCAAAAGTTCTTTCCTTAAATTCCTTTCCCCATGTAAACAGCAGGAAGAACATTATCTTTTGTTAACTTTTTATTTTGCTTATTTGCTGTAATCTGCAAAACATGCTATATAAAAATGCCATTTATTAATCATGACTCTGTTGTGTTCTAAAATAAAAATGATCCCTTGGGATCATATTTGTTATACATGCTGAAATGTATTGTTAGCTAAGTGGCCTTATCTATAGTTGAGAAAATACTGTGCTTTGGAAGACTGGTAAACAGTGCAAGGAAGTCATTTAGTTATCTGGATGCATTAAAGATGAAATCAATGTAAGATGAATTAATAGTTCTAGAATAGTGATATGAAAAAAACAGCCTAAGCTCTTGGCTTTGGAAGAAGTAATTAGCCAGTACTGCAAGAGCCTTGGTGAGTACACATTCGGATGTTCTTTAATGGATCTAGAGGAGGAATTTAAAAAACTATTGTCTGCAACTATAAATTCCTACTTTCTAGCTGGTGGCTACAGCTGAGATGTGGTATGTACTTTAGCAAGTACTTTGGCCCATGTCAGTGACAAAATAGCCAGATCAGTTTAAATTACTGTCTTGGATTATTTGGGAGAAGAGAACAAATCACATTAAAATGGTGTGAGACTTCAAGTCAGTTTTTGATTCCCTGTCTCCTTCTTGTTGCTACGTGGACATGAGAATATTTTGAAGAAGATACTGCAAACCATCTGAAAATTAAGCTCCAAATGAGATTGAATTCCATTCCAGAAAGTTCAGTTCATAACATGAATTTAGTGTATTGAGAATACACCATGAAGTCATAGTTAAATGAAGATGCATTTTTTTTTCCCACAGCATTTATTTCAAGTAATTTGTAATACAGTGATAAATCTGTGTGATTTTATTTCTAGCTCCACAGGACATTGGACATTGTTAATCTGTTTAATGTATGTAACTTAGTATTCTATGATGAAAGCAATCTATTAGTGAGCTGAGTGATAAACAAGCACATCTAGAAAAAACCTTAAGGAGAGTCCAAGATCGTTTGCATTTATTTTAATGATATCCAAATGGTGTACTAACTAAAGATGTTAATAATTATGATGAGCAATAAAGCTCTAGAAGGAGTTAAACTGACTGGCATGCTTTATTCTGCTGGTGTTCTGTTTGACATAATTCCATAACCTCTTCCCTTCAATAAATGTCAACTACTTTGTTTTATTTTTTTTAATTTCTTGAATGTCCTAGCTGTGAAGAGAGACAGAGCATGAAAATTGTCAAGGATATATCACGTTTTGCATTCACATGTTCATGGTTTTTGTTAGAGTGACTGAAAGGCCAGAAAAGATGTGTGGGAAGACTTCCGAGCAACAATAA